AGACTTGTCAAAGCAGGACAATGTTATCCCTTCTCCCATGCAAGTTCATGAGTGGTACACCGGGGATGGTAGGGAGGCCTCTAACGGGCAATCTTCCGCAGTGACGGACGATAATCTTGGGCTCGATATGCATCACTTAGCATCTCTATGTCCCATGGACACCACAGCTGACCATGGAAGGGTCCCTAGTTGGGACAACTTCCTTGGAATTCGCTGACATGCACAACTCATGTAAACAGAAAAGGTGGATGGGCTTTACATTTTGTTCTGTCTTTGCTGATATATGTGATATTTTTTTGTATTTAGTATGATTGTATATTCTGTAATAAAGATAATAAAATAAGAATTCCGATGAAAACACATTATTTTTGCCCAAAATAATTATAATTTTTTTTTTTACTATCTTAAAAACGCACTCTCACATTAACTTAATGTATTTAAAAAAATTAATTTTTTTAAGTGGCTTGAATCCGAGATCTAAGCTATAAAGTGATATTCACTTACTAATGAATCCAACTGATAGTTTTCTATGATATCCTTGCTCCAAAATTCATCTTGAGGTACAACAAGAAGCTGCTGTTCAAAAAAAAAAAAAAAAAAGAAAGGTACAACAAGAAGCAGAAGCCACCAAGAGCTACAGTGCAAGTACTGGGCCTGGGTGAATTAGCATATCTTCGACTTCACGGATGAGACTTGAGAAAGGATATTAAGATTGGGTTTTACTTCGGCCCTATAAGAGAATCCGCTCTGCGGGTCGAAATAAAAAAATAAAATAAAATAGAATAAAATAATCGAAACGTCACTTCCACTCTCCTCTCTCCTCTCTCCTCTCTCGTCACCTTCCCGCTTTCATTTCCTTTCACCCTTTCGCTGTTCCTGCATTCGGCGTCGCTGGGAGGGCTGCACGGTACCGGTTGAGGCTCTAGTTACGGTCCAGCCGCGCCGATCCAACTTTGGGGCCAAGAAATTTGGAAAGCGCTCTTTTTTCACGACGCGTTTTTAGCCGGATCCGGCGCCGTCGCTCTTTGGATTGACGCTCCCATTGTGGCGAACGGTGCCTCGAGGACAGATCCGGCACTGTGACCAGTAGGATCGGTCTCCTACGGCGTCGACCGGTGCCTGGAGGAAAGATCCTGTCTCCTTGACGTGCTTATCACTTTAGGCTCCGATTGACTCTTCCATAATGACTACCGTTGAACTGGAAGATAGATCCGGCGTCGTGCGAAATCTGATACAAATAGAGCACCGAAGTGGCGCTATGTTTCCCACTATTACACAGTGGCCATCATTGTTCTACTGGCCAACCGGTATTTCTAGGAGGCAGTGGCCGTACCGCCGTACCGCCGTACCTTGGATCTGCAGCATCCGTCCTTTTGAATTTTAAAGGGAGGGCATGCACTCAGAATTCAAACCACAATGAGGCGTTTTGGAGGTTCTGGCACCTAGGTAGAGTTCATACGGAGAGGTAATTCATTAATCTTTATATTTTCCTTTTATGCTTTCAAAGAGGCAAGATTCTATCTCTTTCACACATGTTTGGGAACTACTTTAGTTAAAAGACTCTCATTCTCTATGCTATGAGAAGAAATTGATGACTGCTTAGTGACTAAAGCATGAAAATGTATATTTAAAGTGTGTCTAATCATTGATATTTGTGGAATTATGGGCTTAAGAATTATATTTTTCTACAAATAATTTCATAAATGTTTATTCTATTTGTGCAAATTTTTTATGATCGAAGATTTGATAATTAAATGGAGAGAATTAGAAGAAAAGAAGTTAAATGCAAAGAACCAGAAAGATGATGGTCCAAGGATTAAATTTAGAAGTTTAAAAACTCAAGTGGGATTTTCTCCATTTTTTATTAAGATGTAAGTTTGTGAAGTTGAAGCGTTAATGAGGTGTTGGAACTGTTTTCTAGTTCCAACCCTTGGCCTATGGAAAAGGATAGACAGTAGCATAAGGGGTTCCGCACTCTGATTAGTATCCAATCCCTGGTTAGTTATGCACAAAAATAGAAACATGCAGGGCTCTGCACCTTGACTTGAGATTTCAACCCTGTCTAACAAGATTGTGCAAGAAGAAAGAAGAAAATAAAATTAATTCCCCAGGGCTGCTATTTTAGTTAGGAGCCTTTAAAACCAGGTTTAGTTTCGAGAGAAGTTATTCTTAGGCACATATTTTCTTCTTTTCTAGTGCTAGAGAATTATGTTAAGATAGGCTAGAGAGGATCTTAATTGAGGAGTTTAACTTGTTATTTTATTTTGATTCCTTTGTAGTTTTTATTGTTTAATTTTATTTTCGAGAGATTATTAATTATTTTCAGATTTGAAAACTCTACAAAGTGTCAACTGCTTACCATCCACAAACTAATGGGTAAGCTGAGTTAGCCAATAGAGAGTTAAAACAAATTTAGGAGAAA